AACACTTATCTTACTACTATATAGTGCGAGAACACATAATATGCTTACGTGAGTGGTATAAACTTAAGGGAGCAAAGCAAACACAACACCATAGAATCAAAATAGGAATGAAGATGGTGTTCAGGATTAACACACATATATGCATCAGTGGGATTGACAGTTGTACTCTATTTGGGCTCGTTTAGTACACATGATTAGATTAGAGTAAAGATGTAACGACCCGTCCCTAAAATTATGGTTTTATAATTTTTAAATGTGTGATTTTACGAAAATGCCCTTTGAGATGAAATCATTGACTTTTGTTGACCCTCGTACCATGCAATGTATAACCTATTCTATTAGAGTATTCTTGTAGTACTCGTCACTACGAACGTGTGGGCACAAGCGAAATTGAATTTGGAGTTAGAACAAAGATTTTACGGAATTCGAAACGTAAGGACATTTCGGTAATTTTACGTCCCACGGAATATTTTTCTGTTTCGTCTTTTCTTGCCTTGTTTGGTGAGCCGATGGGGCCCACCCCTGCTTTTTTGTCTCCTAGCTCTCTCTCTTTTTCTTTCCGTCTCTTTCCTTTTATTCCCATGAACCATATCTATCTCCCTCTCATCTTTTTGCACTTTCCTATCCTCTTCTCATCGAGCCACACACACACACACATATACACACATTCAACCACACCATCATCACCCTCTATCCTCTGTGAGACCCTCGACTCATGGAACAACGGAAAAGCCCTCGAACTCATCCCCTCCATCGCGCTGCACTGTACACAAGTTTTCACGATGAATTCTCGTCGTATTCAACAAAGGTAAGCCTCAAACATAGTCCAAAACTTAGTAGCTCATGTCTAGGGATACAATTGGAAGGTCTTTGAGAAGTTTTGGTGGCTTTTGGGAGCAGAAATACCTTGGGGAAAGCCTTCCCCAGTTTTTCAGCGAGAACCGCGACTTTTACGGCCGTTTTCTGGCCAACTTCTATCAACTCCGGCCACCACTTGGACCCAAATTGGTAAAGATGTGTTCTTTTCATTTTTTTAGCTTCATTTCCATATAAAGATCATCGATTTAGGTTAATAATTGAAGAAGTTATGAACATTTAAAGTTCACCCATTTTTTGACAACCTCTGCAGCTTTCAAGCCATTTTCTGATCAAATCACGATGAGTTAGCCATCGAGGTGGGTACCAATCTGTTAATCTTGTCCCGAGTACAATTTTTGTTTTTGAATCACTCAATTTCATTGAGTACTGACAAAGTTATGGACGTTTAAAATTTTCCATTTTCCGGCGAGTTTCCTAGTTTTCTAGCGGACCAGACACCTTTCAGGCTATTTTTCAGCCATCTCCGGCAACCATTGAACTTCGAAATAGGTAGAATCTTATTCTACACTTTCCTATCTTCGTTTTGATATATTATGGGTCGAATTTGGTTGAGAAACGAGTGAGTTATTAAACTTTGAAAATTACCCAGAAATTTGGCTAAAAACCCAGATTTTCGGCGAGGTTTTCTGGTGGCCGACAACGGCTCCAGCTATCAGAGAGAGGAAGAAGAAGAGGGAATATTCTCTGAAATATTCTCAAAATATTCTTTATGTTGACTTTGTATTGACTTTTTTTTGAAATTTTCTCGGGAACCGTCCTAGACTTGAGGCCCTAAATATGTTTTCTGTTTAGTGAAATTTGAAGTTTTAACGTAGTTGACCGGCTCGGATTCTCAGTTGACTTTTTACAAAAAAAATTTCGGGACCCCTCTTAGGGTAATTGGTGCCCTAATTCCAAATCCACGTTCTGTTTTCCCAAATTCAATCGTTTTAGCAGGTTTTTACTAATTGGTCCCTTTAAGTGCTTAGGTGATCCCTAGTTTGAACGAGTCTTTGGCGATGGAGTATCTGTGAGTGGACCCCTTCCTAAATTGCATGATTTTTATTGAATGCTAAGATTACATAAAAAATGGTTTCATGATTTAGTTACGATTTGTCGAATTAACGTTTTATGGAATTTTTATGCTTATTGAATTTACGTTTTATGAGACGATATGAATTATTGCATTTATGCTTTATGAATATGATTTATGATGAAGATCGAGATAGAAAGCTTCCATGGTTTTATGATATGATATTTGAGCTTTTGAGCTCTGATGATTTGATATAAAAAATGTGATTTATATTTTCTGTGCTTACTAAGTGGGTAATCATACAACACATACACACAACATGAGTATGTATCTGTCTATGGCCATATGACATAGTTGAGGAGCAGTGAGATATATATGGCATACTCCCAGCTTCATTGGCAAAACCAGTATTGGTGTGTTATGTTATATTTCTTCTATGACGTAACCCAGAGTCGTACAGTTTCACCTTCGGGTGATAAGACCTACCATGTTTCTTCACTGGCGCAACCTAGTGTCGTACAGCTTCACCCCCGGGTGATGGATATGCCTTTGGGTGACTATGGTACCCCTAGTTAAGTACATCGTTATATAATTTACGAAGGTTTTAAGGATTTTCCTTCAAGCGATTATGTTAACATTACTGAGCGCTGTTTTATACATACACATTTTAGATGTTTTCATGGCATGTTAGGATTTTAAGAAAAACCTAGTATGTAGTTTTATATATATGTATGTGTGTGTGTGTGTGTGTGTATTCAAAACAGGGGGTTAGTATGTTCAACAAAAAAATGGTTTTACTTAGTATTATTATTAAAAACTTTGGTCCACTCACCCTTTGTTTTGCGCTCCCTTCATGACTTAGAATCCAGGCGTACGATCCCGTCGTTGAGGCATTCCCGTATCTGTACCTTTGAGTCCTCTCAGTGTAAGACCCCCATTTCTTTGTAATCTCATTGTTATATAATATTCATTTTGTAGTATCCTTAATTAGTTGTATACTCTGAACACGTTCGCGCATTCGCATATTTCATTATATTTAAATTTACTTATTTTATTTACATTTGCTCTTTCTTCATAACTTGCATGCATATTAAAATGGCTTCTTCACCCTTGAGTATCGGCCAGCAGGTGCCCATCCTTGTATTTGGAGGATATCGAGGTCGGGGCTCGTCAAAAGACCTCTCATATTTCAAGATATGTTGAAGATGGAAGTGAATGGTTTCTAATTTGGAGTGGATTAGACCAACTCCAACAAGGAGACCCAAACCCAAATATTTGGGTTTTTGTCACCCAACAACAAGACCTAAACCGAATCAAATACGTGTCATTTGATTTATGAACCATTGGTTGTCAATGGTCCACATCAAAATTCTTTTTTCTTAGAGCAATTTTTTTAATTTGATCTAACGGCCCAATTTTTTTTTAAATTCAACTTAAAAAAGCGATATAACAATTGAAAATTAAATCTAATGGTCAAAATAATAAAATATTTATAAAAAAAAATAGATCCACTATAAATCTTTGAACAGTTTGATTGGTTAAGTGGTTGGTTGGTTTGATTTCTTCGATTTTTAAAATTTTGTCGGAATTTTAATTTTTTAGGTTAAAGCATTCGTAAAATTAAATTAAGGCAAGCCAACTCAAAGTTACAAAAGAAATCCTTACCGAAAAAAAAAAAAAAGGGTTAAAACCATTCTACAACAACATACATTTTAGGTCCTGAAATTTAGGTCTTGAATGGGTTAACAGTGACATTCACTATTCAAAGACTTATATTCTGACTTTTAGTGGACCTAAATATTTGGGTTTGGATATTGGAGTTGGTTTTAGAAAAGGATTAACTATGAAGATAATTCATCCCTTGTAATTCTACCATTTTAAGGAGGATTGTAATAAAGAAGTTTTGTTCATGAGTAATCCATCTTCTATTTTTGCCATTTAGTACTACGGTCAAGTGATATTCCTCTTCACTTATAAGTGAGAAGTCTTAGGTTCGATTCTAACCAATTGTGAGATTAAGTTCACCCTTTCCCCTTAGTATAGGTAATATCGTTTGTTTCAAAAAAAAAAATCTATAATCTATCTTCTAAGTGGTCTTAACTTTATAATTTGTCCCATCAGCAAACCTTTAATGTAATAAATTATCCATTCCAGTCCAGTTATACTTATATGTACTAAACAAGCCATTCGTACATGAAGGGAAGATTTAAGTTCATGTCAACAGACATATAAAGAAACAAAAAAACGACAGTTTGAAGTCATAATTAGGAATAACATTAAACTTGAAAAGTATTGTATCATGTTTCTTTACCAACTTGGGAACAAAATGAGATTGAACTTATACCCAATTCTATACAATCAACACACACACACACACACACACACACACACATAGTTATTTCAAACTGAAACATGCAACCTTTATGAACTAAGCCGAATTTGGTGAACCACATGCAAAGAATGCTGGGCTACATATATATATATATATATAGTTATTTCAAACTGAAACATGCAACCTTTATGAGGCTTATAAACTAAGCCGAATTTGGTGAACCATATGCAAAGAGTGCTGGCCCGCCCTTGCGTTTTCTGTTGCACATTATTCCCCTCTGGATCGTAAACTATGTGCCTAAGGTAGTCACTTTGAAATTTGAACAACTGATAAAAAAAAAATGTCCTAGGGATCAATATGGGCCATACTAAAGTAGGGCTAGTTATCAAGTTCGGCAACTATAGAAGCTAGTGATTCAATATATTATGTATTTGCTTGAGCTTTTCGGTATCTAGTAAGTTTATGGGTAATGTTAAGGAGACTAAATATTCATATCAAATTTTATAAAACATATGAAGTGACTATTGATAATTGAATTAGTAAGTGTTCATTAACGTGCTTATTTTCTACTAGTGACAAATCATATGATTTACAAATTTGGTCTAAGAAGTTAGTCGACCTAGCATTACTCTAAATTTGTATGGAGGTAGAAACTTCCACTTGTATTCCTTGTTTTGCATGTATTTTAGGCACGTAGTTGTTGGGGTTTTATTTATTTATCTTGTTTTTAGAGTTTTTCTTTAAATAGCGGCCATGGTATATATTGAGAAACAGAACATAGTTTAGTTTGTTGTCATTACTTTACATATAGAGCCTCATCGCTTAGCACGCCAAAGGACAAAAAAGAAGACATAGAGAGGTCAAGATATGGAGATTGGTGATACAAGAGAGAGTATTGTAATTGTGGGTGGTGGGATTTGCGGCCTTGCCACTGCTCTTGCTCTTCACAGGTTTTACTCTTACACCAGCCTAATTTTTGTTCTTTCTAAATACATCCTTTGTTTAGTGATATATGTCAATATTTTTCCAGAACTCATACGTACGTTCATTTAGTTCTGGAACATCATAAAAGTCCTTTCTCTGCAAGAATGTACGGGTCCTAGATCATTCAGATTTTGTGACAGAAACACAAGTAATGAATCCCATCAATGCTTCGAACTTTAGGATGATATATATAGTTGTAGTTAATTTTGGCATGCAGGAAAGGCATTAGAAGCGTGGTCCTGGAAAGATCAAACAGATTGCCAGCAACCGGAGTAGCTATTATCGTGCATCTAAACGGCTGGCGTGCACTTGATCAGCTTGGTGTTGCCTCACTCCTTAGACAAACTTCTTTTCCTATACTCTCGTACGAATCTCTCTATCTCCTCTCCTCTCTCTCTCTCACTAATTTTCCATAAATTATCAGATTTCTTACGTATGGTCTAATTAATATTTTTATTTATCTTCAGCGGACAATTTATTTCACTCGGTAGTGGTGAAATTGAAGATATGGATGTTGGGTGAGTTCTCAAACTTTCATCTCCTTTTAGTTTGGACCTTTCTTATCTATACACGCGGAAATGAAGATTCAAATTTGAGATATCTTTGAACATTGAGATGAGAAATTAATACCACTGGACTAAAAACTTGATTAGACTTCTGTCTTTAATTATGATGTCTACTTTTACCTTAATGTTTCCTATTATGTGAAACGTTGATGAGGTGTGGTTTAGGTTCTTAATAAAAAGTAATAAGCTGAATAAATAATTTACAGGAAAGAAGAACTGAGAGTTTTGAAGAGGACCGATCTCATTAGTGTTTTGGCTGATAATTTGCCTCCCAACACTGTACGTTTCGGGTGCGAAGTGCATTCTGTTAAGTTGAATCCCGGAACTTCTTCTCCAGTTCTTCAACTTCAAGATGGAACAATTTTGAACCCCAAGGTAAGTAATGCTTAATTGTTCTGACTTCACCAGTACTACTTCATGTGTTGTTTGTTTTTTTATCTATAAATGTTAAGTACGGGGTTATTTTGTTCCTATAATACTAGTTAATAACACTTCTCTTGTAAGAGATTAGGTTATTCATGTCTGACACCAAGTCAACCTGTTTATTGTCTGTGTTAACTGGTCTTGTATAATTGTCTGACACCGAGTCAATCTGTTTATTGTCTGTGTTAACCGGTCTTGTATGATTTACGAATTCATGCCAAGTAATGTCAATTCTAACTCATAAACGACGTATTTTATATCTGTTTACATAAGTTGACAAAAAGAAGTGTATGTTTCCAACTTGAGATAAAATCGAATGCAGATTTCTTTCGATTTTTTTTTTCTTTCAAAGGGGAGATCTTACCATAGCAGCGATGCAGGGACAAGTCTGTCATAGCTTGCTAGCCTGCAAACTAATCAATATGACTTGCATTTTGTGTTTTGGGTTATGCATATATACTAATGTGGAAGCAGGTTGTGATTGGATGCGACGGAGTGAACTCGATCGTATCAAATGTGATGGGGGTGAAGGCTCCAAATATTTTCAGAATATGTGTCATAAGAGGCTTCACAAGGTATCCAGATGGTCATGAATTCGGTAGTGAGTTCACTTTAACGAGAAAAGATGATACTCAGGTGGGACGACTCCCCATGACCAAAAACCTGGTGTATTGGTTCATGACTCGAAAACATTCTTCTCAAGGTACGTAAAACTATGTTGTTTCTATCATTTATTTCGTTAGAACTATAACATAAACGTATAATATTATCACAAGCACTATTTACAGATTTGTACAATAGTATCAAAATGCGGACTTACCTTTTTATGAACAGATTCGGCAGCTTCTAAGGACCAGAAACTAATTCGGGAGTTGGGAGTGAAATCGGTGGAGGGCTTCCCTACAAGCACCATAGAGATGTTTAAGAATTGCGAGCTAGAATCTTTACATCTCACAGAGTACGTGAGATACCATACACCATGGGACATACTACGAAAACCCTCTCGCGCGGGAACTGTGTCACTGGCGGGAGATGCCATGCATACCATGGGACCTTTCCTTGCACAAGGTGGCTCAGCCGCACTAGAAGATGCAGTTGTGCTTGCTCGGTGCGTAGCTCAAAAGACTTGCGTCGATCCTAGTGGAAGAGGAACTAAACTGATGGTAGAGGAAGCGTTGGATCAGTACGTGAAAGAGCGAAAGACTCGAGTTCTGAGATTGTCTTTGCAGACATACCTAATTGGGAAAATGTTTCATACTTCATCACAGTTTGTTAAGCTCATATGCGTTGTCCTTCTGGCAATCCTGTTTAGCGAGGCACACGGCCATACCCGCTACGACTGCGGCAGCCTCTAAGATCGATGCAGATATGGCTCTGCGTCAAGTTTAAGGATTAGGTGATTATCTGTAGAATTTTGTTTCCTGGAAATGAAATTTCCATTTGATGGAAAATAAGGAGATAATAAACTAATTGAGATAAAAAGAGGGAATATTTGTCCTTCTTACATCTTAATAACTTACAAATACATGGACACATCCACAGTATACAGTTGCAAAATTTACCTACATGCGGTGGCAAGCTCAGGAATCGCCATATTCTATGTATCCTACAAAATTACAAATACACACAGTACATCTACTACCTATGCTGTTGCAGAAACTGGGATCTCTGAGATCTTAATTGTTGGTAAAGCGGGACGACCTTTATCTGGAAACGGAAGGAGCTTACCTAAATGCAAGCTTTTCATGATCCAGTTAAGATGGAGGCTCAATTTTTAATTTTATAGGAAAAATAGCATGTGAGCCAATGTACTTGTAAAAGTAATTAATTACTTACCATCACTGCTAACTTCTGCTCGGACGCACACTGCCTCAAGTGACGTGATGCCCTACTTTCATCCTCAGCAACAATGGCTCCCAAAGTGGACTAACCACTGGAGGGTTTTAAAGACCTTCCCGCCTCCGTGCTGCACAACCCAGAAATTTCAACAGGACGAATCAGACTACCGCGAAATGTCTCTTCAGAGTAAGATGCATGCCATGACCAAAACCTATGAGAGCATGAATTTAGTTCCTGCCGAGAGCAACAATCAGAACCTTGACAGCAGGAGATATACATTCATTCTGCATTACGTCAACAACATTACATGGGCTAGGAGGAGATGGCAACTAGTGAGAGGGAGAACTGAGAAATGAAACTAAACCAACCAAGATGAAATATGGTGTTATGTTTGAATTTCTGTGACAGATTAAGGATATAACAACAAGAGTGAGCCCTACCTTAATTATTTTTGCCAATTTGGTGTACAAACTGTGCTTTCCGTGAAGCATGATTCCTACTTTATCAAAGACATAATTGTGGTTGTGGAGAAATAGCTTCCCATGATGGCAGGCTCTGCATCAGCTCGATCGGTAGTTTCATGTATCTAAGAAAGATATTGATTTAGAATCATTATCCATAGAAGAGAAAAACTTAAGGTACATCAGCTTGATACCGTAGCATTTTTTCTTTTAACACACTTTTACTTGAAACACTTCTATTAAAAGCATGTTGCGACTTTAAATGCTTCTTAAAAAAACTTGAAATGCTTCCTGAGAAAAACGCTTGAAATGCTTCTTGAGAGAAGTGCTTGAAATGCTTCCTGAAGAAGCATGTGCTTCTAAAAAACACTTCCGGATGCTTTCTATGCTCCATGAACTTTTTTTTTTTAAACATTTCCTGGCAATCATTGTCATTAGAAGTGCTTTGGGTTACTTGAAACCGCATTTAGCTATTCTAAAATCACTTACAAAATCTGTCATATTCTTCCAAAATCACATTCCCTCCGACTTGTGTATTGTGATTTACACTTTTTTGTTCAAAGATGTATCACGACATACATCGTAACAATTACTCAGATACATTGATGATGATAGAGAAAAAAATTTGGTAAATTTTACATATCAGAAAATTAGAGCAGCTTCATTGCCTAAGAGATATTGCTGACATCACTCGGTGAAGGCTCCTGCTGAACCTCTGATTCAACCTGAATCTGGGAGGGTTCCGGCTGGGAAGATTCAACCACACTTGGTGCCGAGGCTTCGGTTGTCTCTGGTTTGAACTTGTTGATATAGTAACTAAGTGATGGCCCAGAGTAATCTACCTTCTGCACAACCGGAGGCGAATTCTTACCTACTTGGAGGAGTATTGATGAAGCTGCAGCAACAGCAACGAGGGCAACCCCAGCTGTGATTGCTGCTGTGTTCTCAGCTCCATCGGCAGAAGACCCTGCAGTTCCGGAGCTTATTACGCTTTCTGATACGTAAACTGCAGGCTGGAGAACGCAGACAAGTTACGAAAGTTGACACACTATAACGTGAAATATACTCGAGCAAATAAGAGAGGAAAAGAAATAAAACAACCAAACCCTCTGAACAGATTGTAAAAATAGTTTTACTCTCGTAGGGTTTTCACTCAAAACTGCATGCCCAGTTAAACATGGGATGCATGTATTTATATTAGCATCAGGATTACAATAAGAGTTTGAAAACCCTAGATACAAGGAGATACAAACAGAAAGAAGATTACATGCTCAGTGTTTGGCTTACAACAAACATCTGAACCTAAAACAATCCTATAAACTAGGGACAACAGAAAAGATCACAGTTTGAACTAAAAGAGGATTCCTCAAGTCGCAGGAATCACTCGTGGATCTTGACTTCGTCTAACACCCCCCCGCAAGCTAACAGGGGGTGGAACCACTGGGAGCTTGGACACTAATAACTTGAATCTAGACGAAGACAAGCCCTTGGTAAATATATCAGCTAGCTGATCCTGTGAGCAAATATAATTAACAAGCAATTCTCGACGAACAACCTTCTCTCGAACATAGTGATAATCAACTTCCAAATGCTTTGTCCGTGAATGAAACAAAGGATTCGAAGCAAGGGAAATGGAAGAGACATTGTCACACCAAATCTGTGGACACACAAGATACAAATGCAGGTCTTTGAACAAAGATCGTAACCATGAAAGCTCGGCTGCTGTGTAGGCTAACTGCCGGTACTCGGCCTCAGCACTCGATCGAGACACAGTTTTCTGCTTCTTGGAGCTCCAAGAAACAAGATTGGATCCCAGATAAACACAAAATCCCCCAGTAGAGTGGCGAGTGTCAGGATTCCTGGCATAGTCCGCATCGGAATATGCTGAAAGTTGCGCAGATCCTGGTTTGTACAGAAGACCATGACTAGGCGTGGCCTTCAAATAACGAAGAATCCGTTTCACCGCCATCCAGTGATGAGTAGTGGGGGCATGCATAAACTGGCAGACTTGGTTTACAGCATAGGATAAGTCAGGACGAGTAATTTTGAGATATTGTAGGGCCCCAACCACACTACGATAAAGTTCTGGGTTGTCGAACGGATCACCAACATGTGCACTGAGTTTCTGACCAGAGATAGCAGGTGTGGAAATTGGTTTGGCCTCTGTGAACTTGGTACGGGACAACAAGTCCAACGCATATTTTGTTTGGCAGAGATGCATAGTCGTGCCATCATACTTTACTTCCACACCCAAAAAATAATTAAGGGGTCCTAAATCCTTCATCGAGAACAAGGTGCCGAGCCTCTGAATCAACCGAGACATTTCAGGAGAACTGTTGCCAGTGATTAAAATATCATCCACATAGATTAGAAGAATTAAGTAAACACCGGAGTGATTATAAACAAACAAACTATAATCACAAGTTGATTCCTGAAAACCCAGTTGAAGCAAGAAATCCGAGAATCTCTCAAACCACGCCCTTGGTGCCTGCTTAAGACCATAAATACTGCGCTGAAGCTTACAGACATGAGAAGGAAATTGCTTGTCAATAAATCCCGAAGGCTATCTCATATATACTGCTTCACGTAAAAAACCATGCAAAAAAGCATTTTGAACATCAAGCTGCCTAACAGGCCAACCTTTGGAGACAGCAAGACTGAGAACCAGTCGAATAGTGGTGTGCTTTACAACCGGACTGAAGGTTTCGGTGTAATCCACACCAGCCTTCTGATGAAACCCATTTGCCACCAGACGCGCCTTATGGCGTTCAATCGTGCCATCTGCACGGCGCTTCAGCTTAAAGACCCACTTATTTGGAAGCAAGTTCATGCTAGGATGAAATGGAACCAAGGTCCATGTCCCACATTGCTGCAGTGCATTAAACTCCTGTACCATAGCACTCCGCCATTCATGAGACTTCACAGCCTGACTAAAACAAGTGGGTTCAAGGGGAAACTTGTCAACAGAGACATGCATGGCATATTTAGGGTTGGGTTTGTGAATGCCTGACTGTGAACGTGTGGTCATACGACTGCTCAGAGGGTCAGGTACCATTGGTATCGGTTGTGGGGATACCGTGACTTGCTCATTTGAGGGAAGGGTGTTTGGGAAGGTTGAGGTTGGTTGTATGGACATAGAAGGCAAATGTGTAGATGAAGGGGGACTTGGTGGGGTGAGGGAAGGAGGGGGGTCGAGTTGCAACTGAGTAGTGAATGGAGAACCTGGTTGGTCGCAGGAAGAGGGTGAGGGATTAGGTGATGGAGGATTAGGGTTTGAAATTGTTGTTCGTCTGATCGATTCGTGGGGTAGTGAAGAACTGGACCTAGTAGGCATATCAAAAGTTAATAAAAGTTCAGGTGAGACATGGTTACCTGATGGAAGGACGCCTGCAGAGGAAGATGTGAGTCCCTTAAAAGGGAAGGAGTCCTCATCGAAGAGGACATGACGAGACAGGTACACTCGGCGTGTGGACAAATCCAAACACTTATAACCTTGATGATTGAGGGAATAGCCTAAGAAAACACAAGATTTGGATTTGGGTTGAAGTTTATTTTTTGTGTAAGGTACCAACCAAGGAAAACATCGACAACCAAAAACTTTCAACATGTCATACTTTGGTTTTTTTTGAAACAACTTCTCATAAGGTGACACATGAGACAAAAGTTTTGTTGGCATTCTATTCACCAAATATGTTGCAGTGGAACACGCATCAAACCAAAAACGAGTGGGTAAGTGAGATTGAGAAAGCAGAACTACACTGGTTTCAACAATGTGTCGATGTTTTCTTTCTGCAAGGCCATTTTGTTCTGGATGTTTGGGACATGAAAAACGTTGAGAAATTCCATTGGTGCTAAGGAAATTTTGAAATGCACGACTCTTATATTCACCTCCTTCATCACATTGTAATGTTTGAATGGAATGATTAAGCATGTTTTCAACACAAGCTTTGAATTGAACAAAGATTTTGAAGACTTCACTTTTGTGTTTCATAGGGAAAATCCAGGAATATCGAGAATAGTCATCCACAAATAAAACATAATAACGAAAGCCTTCATTAGAAATAACTGGAGAAGACCAGACATCAGAATGCAACAATTGTAAAGGAAATTGAGAAACAGACTCAGACGCATAGAAAGGCAATCTAGTGCTCTTTCCTAGGGGACAAGACTCGCAAAAACTAACATCAGGAGTACCATGAATTGGTACGAATTTATTTGAAATCAAAAACTTAATTATGGAATGGGATGGATGACCAAGACGGGCATGCCATTTTGTCACAGAACACCTGACTCCAACAAAGGCTGAAATGGGATACTGGAATTGTCCACTGCTACTTGGAAATGGGTATAACCCATTCTCACATCTCCCTCGGAAAAGCGTCTTCCGGGTCTTGAGGTCCTTAACAAGAAAAAAATGGGGAAATATTAATAGATAGCATCGATTATCTAAAGTAAACCTATGGGCAGAAACTATATTTTGAGAAGCAGTAGGACAATGTAGAATATGGTTTAAGTTGAATGAGCAAGCGTTTGTACGTAAGTGATTGGAACCAGAATGTAAAATATTGATACCAGAATCATTACCTACTCCTCCAACAGTTTCATTACCAGTATACTCCTTAGGATTGACCAGATTGTGAAGATCAGGCGTAATGTGTGCATTAGCACCGGTGTCCAAAAGCCAATTGCCATTCTTTTGCTTGTTCAGAGTAATGGGAGAGGAGGTCATAGCTGAGAGTTTTGTTGTAGGAATCCGACCTTCATACGCGGCATTCATGCGTTGGTAGCAATCTAGGGCAGGATGACCAGGCTTTCCACATATTTGACACACAATACGCTCACCAGGACAAGGAGAACGATCACCAGTAGCCTGGTTGCGCTGATGATTGGGACGAGGGTTGTAACCTCGGTGAGTGAAGGAAGGGCCACGATTGGATGGAGACAGACCTCTCCCATGTCCTCTCGACCGTCCACCACCACGACCGCGAGCTACAAAAGCAGTCACAGGAGCAGTCTCAGTGAATGACGCTTGTTGTTCTACCATACGACGTTCAGTGGTCAACAGTAGTGCCTCAAGTGTGGGATAGGTAATGGGAGAATCCCGAGCTTGAGCAGCACTCACCGTCATTTCAAAGGCAGGGCCTAGATTGTTCAACACAATCTGGACAAGTTCATCATCATTGACAGGTTGCCCGGCTAGGGCTAGGTTATCAGCTATCGCATTCATGCGATCCAAGTAATCCGCAACAGAAAGATCACCTTTCTTAGTCTGCAACAATTCATTGCGCAGAAACAAAATTCTATTTTGGGAGGTCGAGGCATACCTCTGCTCTAAGGCTTCCCAAGTGGCGCGAGCAGTCCGCTTGCTCGCCACAGTAGACAATACAGAAGCAGTTAAGGATCCATTGATCCAACTAAGGATCGTTTGATCCTGTTGGACCCATGCTGCATACTGTGGATTGACAGTGGTGATACCGGGCAAGTGTTTGGGAGGACACATGGAGGTACCATCCACATATCCCATCAGATCTCGACTTCGAAGAATTGGGAGAATTTGAGCCAACCACAGTGGGTAGTTGGTTCGATCAAGCTTAATATTGACCACGGTGGAGAAAGGATGGAAGGGATTGGTAGTAGGTGGGTTGGTGATGATGGAAGGTGAGGAGGTACCATTGCCGTCAGCCATGGAAGCGTGGAGAAAAAAAAAATGATTGGATCGAGTCGTTAGACTGTAGGGCTCTGATACCATGTAAAAATAGTTTTACTCTCGTAGGGTTTTCACTCAAAACTGCATGCCCAGTTAAACATGGGATGCATGTATTTATATTAGCATCAGGATTACAATAAGAGTTTGAAAACCCTAGATACAAGGAGATACAAACAGAAAGAAGATTACATGCTCAGTGTTTGGCTTACAACAAACATCTGAACCTAAAACAATCCTATAAACTAGGGACAACAGAAAAGATCACAGTTTGAACTAAAAGAGGATTCCTCAAGTCGCAGGAATCACTCGTGGATCTTGACTTCGTCTAACACAGATAGCCACAATATTCATTAGTAGGTTTTAAACATCTCTTTGGAAGGTATGGTTAACAAACTTTGTACACTTTGCCTTGCACTCTGAAGTGTACGTGCACGCTATCATGTATCATCGCTCAACTGAAGCCCTGGATAATTTCAAGGTTTTTTTTTTTTTTTTTTTCATAATTATCAGTTATAATCATTCTGTCCAGTACATTCAACGTTTTTTCGGTATTCAAATAACAAATAAACATCGACTTATCAAAGAAAAAACAAAAGGGAAAAAGAACGCAATATTACTAACCTCCACAGAATATATGTTTGTCTGTCCAGCAGTGTCCTTCTCAACGTATCCAGTCCAACCCCGATTGCGGGGTGGAAACGTCCCAGAAATTTTTGTCTTCTCACCAGCCAACCATTCCACGCTCACTTTTCCAACCTATTCACATCACGATAAAAATATCAAAATATATTTGTTTAATTATCCTTTTCTGTCAAGTTGAATGCAGCTAGGTATACATAGTGCTACCGATAAACATTGCATTGACCCTAGAAACCAACCGCTCTTTAATTGTCAGGTTTTCGTTCCCATTCAGATTTATTTTTCTTGAGAAAGACAGACTCGTGTGAGAAAGAAAGATGAGGACACCACAGCTTGGAACAATGGTACCTCAAGAATAGTTTCAACATTTGTGGTTCGAGAGTTTTATTCCAATATGTTTTGATTTCTTAACTGATGGTAATATTTTCCCATCCACAGATATAGGCAAAATTTTGCAGACACATTGCAACAATTTCTTGCTGTGCCTATGGGCTTCCGAAGGTGGCAGAGATCTACAAACTCACTTTCTTCCACTACAATAAACGGTGCAACGGGAGACTTAGCATACCAACAACATCAAGGCACAGGTGGGGTGAATCATAACAGGATTTCAACAAGGAATACTTGCTCATTAAGGTTCCGATTATGCTTCAAAAACAACTAAAAGTGCTTCAAATCCAGATTCAATCAAAAAGTAGTCGAGTTGCTTCTGCCCTTCAGGAATTCACTTTTCAAACTGCCTAGATGCCATGAGGATACGCAAGTCCATGAAAAGAATACAAAGACCAAGAAAAAATCTTCATTTGTTTGTCTTTCAGAATTCAAACATATTGTTTTGCAATGTGATTGAAGAACAACTAGATATAGTTAAACTTAATCCTAAATAAGCGTCTAAGGCACTAAGGCAGTAACAAGGCTCCCCAATTACTACAGAGAACATAACTATAAGTGTAAGAATTACCGGGGAAAATCACCAACTACATATAGTTAAACTTAATCCTAAATTAGGGTCTCTCTTTACTCTGGTATCCAATCCAGTAATCTGGTATTACCAACCAGCCCATCACTGCAAAAACCTCCAACATTGATGCGTTAAATTCAAAATATTTTCTTGCCCATTAATTAGACAACTAATTTTAAGTCACAAAAAATAAGCATATCCAACTTTAAGATCAAACCCATTAACAATCTTACACCAAACACCTAAGATAGAGTTTATACACATACATACATAATTACATACATACAGAGAGAGAGAGAGAGAGAGAGAGAGAGAGAGAGAGAGAGGGTTACCTCCTTGTCAGGAGCACATTCTTCCACATTACAGTCAGCATCTTCAGTGGAAGCTCTAACTAGTGCGAGATGGTTAACTTTCTGAAGTTTTCTGGAGAAGAAGAAGCTCCTTTGTGTAGGAAATGTGCATGTGAATGTGTTTGCTGCTGCAATCACAGCCTGTGCTGCGGTTGCCATTGTTTGCAGAAGCAGAATAACACTCGATAGACTCGGCAGAAATCAGAGATTACGGTGGAGAGGGAGAGATGATATTTTTGTGCTTGCGGATTGGGTGTCCTTTGCTTTGTGTTGGAGGTTTGGTGGATTTTGAGATGGCTACGTGGCAACTCATATTTTTCTCCCTTTTGTTTTTCACCTTTTCCTTTAAAAAAAAGAAAAAGAAATACTATAAATTACAACGAAGAGTCTCGGTGGTCTTAAAATCATATATGCTAAAATTTAATCTCGGAATGACAAAAATAGGAAAATTATTAATACTATGTAATCGATTTAGGGTTTTAACTTTTACCTCCATGGTCGTTCAAAGAAATTTGATCGTTCGTCATATAAAATTAAATATTAAAAATATACTATGTGTAATTTTTCTTGAATTTACCTTAGGTGATTTGAAATGAAATATTTGCAGTTTATTCCATCTTGTAATAACAATTTTATGTTTTCTTTTCAACATTAAATTGAAATTCAATTGTGTTCATCCAAATTCAAGTTGCATTGTGCCCCTAATTTGATCAATAAAAATGGAATCTGAAGAGTAATTTGCAATGGTACTTGTAAAAAGGTCATAAATAGATGAAATGTTTCGTGAAATTTTAAATTAATTTGGACTTCCAATTTGTTGGAGGAGAAAATTGTTTAGGGTTTAGGATTTTGGGTTTAGCAATGTGAGCTCTTTGATGTAGTGTTAATTACAATCGCCCAAGTTTTATTCAAATTTCAGGTCAACCCGTTTTACTTTATGCCACTTAGAAGTGGCAGTGTAATATACTCTTTGACTCCGAATTCTTCCAAAGTCTGACGTGAAGGCATGTACCGCAGCCGTTATATAGTGAAAGTAAGTAAATGCATGTACCGTACCCAAATACATAAGTTATTGAGTTTTGAAAAAATTTGATTTGTTTTGTCACCAAGAAATCGGAGAAAATTTATCAAAAAAATAAATGCGGAAGGCAGAAAAATAGAAAAGAAATACGTATATCATATGTCACAGAAACCAACAGTACATAATCAAACACAGCATTCCATCAAAGAAGACAACACTCTCAACGATATTAAAACGTCTACGCGCCTCTTAATAAAGGGCCACTCGAACCGAAGAGGCTCCAAAAGTTGCATCCACACGTCTGCGAATGCCAATATACGAGAGGACATTTATGATAGATCGATCATGTCTTCATAGATCGATCACATGAAGACATGATCGATTGTTTACAACCTCAAATCCCACTTTCTGCAGTCGCCACACCAGTCTCATGTTACACCGTACGCACACTTCATCCCATTATGCAATCCGCTCACAAATTCACACCCCACGCCCTCCCCCGGTTTGAAACTGATGTCACCCTTAGTTGCGAAAATCTCTAAACCTAAGTTTTCGTCTTTGTGAAGCTGAAATATTTCTTAAGCTTCTTCAACATACTTGGCCGCTTAGCTAATGTTTTTTCAGTTCCCTTTTGCTCGCCTGCAAACCAAAACTCACTTTCACATAAAAGAAAAGCCTGAAGAACGAACAACAGAAAAAGAAAATCACCGGGCAGATAAAACATGTAAAAAAAGCCTACACGCTTACAATACAAGCGGATAGAAATGTACTTGGACAATACACGAAATGAAATTCATTGAGAACCATATTCACACCAACCAAACACAAAAAAAAAAAAAAAAACAAAAAAAAAAAAACAAAACAAAGACCAAGAGGGTCTCCACAGGGTCACTCGTGCTGTCAAGCAGCACTACATGCATCTCGTATTTAACTGAAACTTTTTCATTTACTTATCTGTATATGCATTACATAATGTGGGAAAACTGTCAAATATGAAATATTAAAGATATGTATGGAGCAACTTCATGACCTGAAGATGTTGCATAAACCAAAGCATGGGACGCAGAAGCAAGAAATACAACATGAAATTGCACAAGAAAAAAAAAAAAAAAAAAGAGTTAAAACAGCAACGACGCTGAAGACAAAAAAACTATGGATACCCACACCAAAATATCCACTTGCATTCATCAACTACCCTTTGACCTCCGATTACATAATAAAGACATGCACCGAATATTGTCAACGATTTAAACTATTAGCTCCTTAAGACCATCTTCAACTCTTAGGCTAAAAGCTAAAGTTTTTAGCCTAGAAACAGTTTTTCTACTTCAACCTTCTGACCTAAAATTTTAACCCTAGATTATTAAAGAATCAACTAAGGCTAATTTTTTTTCTTAAATTAACTTTAAAAAAAAAAGTTATGTAGACTATCGTGAAGCACTATGGAAGAATATGAAAATCATGATAGAGATGTATAAACACAAAAATACATAAAACGTAGAACACATGTGAAGCACATACAAAACACATGTGAAGGACATACAAAACACATGATAGAGATGAAGCACACACAGAACACATGTGAAACACATGACACACGAGAAAAAGTGAGTTTTGTGTGGATGTTTAAACAAATACATAGGTATTTATAGAGTTTTTGGGTGAATTTTGAGTTAAATATTTTTTTAATTACTTTAGCCGTTGGATTTAAATTTCAACCGTTAGATCTTTTGTTTACTGTTAGATTTGATTATATTCGATCTCAATAGTTGGATTCAATGTATTTTAAAATTACATTTTTTTTATAAAACAAAATTTGAATCTAGACCGTTGGATCAACCAACAGTCCAAATATATCAACCATCCGATGCAAATTAGAGTCGTTGGGCTCCTGCAAGTGGCAGACAACTGCCCTGACAGTGAGCCCTCCAGGCTTGATGCCGCGTGGGGCAATTGGGGCAAGTGGGTAGGCTGCGTCTGGGCTTGTTTCTGGCGAATCCACTCGCATTTGGACTAATTTCTGAGAGGAATTTGGTTTTTGTTTAGCTTTTAGCTTTTACCCCACAAATTTGGCTTGGGTTGGGTTTGGGGGTGCGTGGGGGTGCAAATAAAACCTAAAATTTGACTTTTAGCCCAGGGTTTGGTTAGGTTTGGTCTAAAAGGAAATTTGAAACTCGATGCTACCATTCCAAGAGATTGCTTTCATGACTATCCTTTGTCACAATTACCAATCAATCAGTACTCCACTCACAAATTCCAGAATAAAAAGAAGAAATATAACATATCAATGAGTCTTCAACATAGGCAGGATCACGGTTAAGAGACTAACTCCACAGGATAGACACAAGAAGTTCCGTATAATTGTTCAAACGGGTCAGTTTTCTACCATTGCCTAAGGTTTTCAGGCACTGTTCTCCAAAACTTACAGCCCTCAACATTTACCACTCACAGTGACAGCTCCAGTCTCTAGATGCAGGAGAGTCATCTTTAACAATGCATACGTGAAGGCAATATGATCCCGCAGAACAGAAAGAAGCAAGAGCTCCTCCATTAGACAGATACCTCTACTCCCATTCACGATCAAGAACTGTAGCTATAATTTAGCTTGGGATAAATAGCAAACTACAAGTGATGTCTAATAGCTATGGGAAAATGAACCTGATTAGTGATCACGACTTCAGTACTAGGACTCGCAAAATGGTCACTTGTTAAAACTTCATTAGTATCAAGTTACCTTTTATGTTCACCCAACCCAAACTCAGCCTAAAGTACCTTGAACTACTCCCATCTACCCGAGCCTTGAAAGTCACAATATCAGGCTTATGCCACCCTTAGATGAATCAACTGAGAAACTCAATCAGTCAAAAGATGAGGCATCCAAGGAGACAAGTAAAAACAGAAAATAACTTGGGGTTTTTTTTCTTTCCTGAAAGTCATTATCAGATAACAAAATACACTTGCTGGCCTGTAATGCATGCAATCAAAAGGACTATAGAAGTGTGAATTAAACACGAGAGCTAAACAGCACAGTTACCATCAGTTACAATATCTGGAGGAGATCCAACGGAACCCAACAGCTTAGGCCTGCTTATCCAGTACTGATGAAACCTCTGCCTTGCGTATTCCATGTAGTCAAAGTCAATTTCATTCACATGTTCCTGAAAAATGAAAAACCAAATGTGGAGATAAAATTAAATGCAACCACATGAAAGTATTGCAACCCATTATGTAACCTTGATCACGGTTAAAAATTAGAACAACGGCCTGACACTCAACAGGAGCCGGCATGCTAAGATATGAAAGAGAAACTAGATTACCAATAAAACTTAAAAATCAGAGAAACAAGGCATTTAAAGAAAATAAAGAAAACATATTAAGAACGTAAGGGGTTAGCTGTCATTCTGGAAGTCAGTGGCAATAGGTTTCTATGATAATAAGGTTCTGTCCATGAAACTATGTTGAAACAATAAGTACCGATATTATTCCCCATAAGCCCCAAAAAAGATGGCTTGCAAGAGTATAGTTCTCAACATCTTGAACCAGCTGCTCCACTTCGCTGTCAGTAGGTTGATTGCCTGCATACAAATCCCACAATTCAGAGAATATCAAATAAATCCTTCCAATTTCTTGAGAGAGGTTACAACATAATCAAGTAAATAATATTACCTGAAGAACTCAGGTACAAACAAACAAACCGCTGACGCTCCTCCAAACCTGTTGTGACAGGTCAAGATATAGCAGGGCACAGAAGGAAATAATACAAGATAAACACAAAAGCATGTGCCAGAACAGATGACAAACCAGGATATTTGCTGTAGACCAAAATATGAGGTGTATCAGTGTGATAGTCAGCTGCCATCTCACAGAAATGATTTGCTATGTCAAATTGTACAGCATTATAACTTGCATACTCATAATCCTGGCAGGAAAGTTAAATATAAAATCAGAACCAAAGAATCTTCCCACTCTTGTTCATGCCCGCATCGCACATTGTCAATCCCATAATTGGATAGACCAATAAACATGGTGCTGAATTAGCTTCCCAAGAAATGAAAAGAAAAAAAAAGAAAGAAAAGAACGGAACTTTCTTCGCACAATCAAATTCATACTCTCTTAGTCAATAATCCTTCCAACGAAACATCATATAGGATGATGTTTAAACTTTAAACCTATATACATCCATATAAAAACTGATATACTATCTCCATATGATTAATGATAATCTCAGTCCTAATATTTTATTTTTTATTTTT